TTAAAATTTATTATTTTTATTTGGGCTTCTTAAGAGATCAAGTTTTACCCTTGTCTGACTATGTCTTTCATTAAAAGAAACAGAGTGTTTTTAATTGACTACGTGATACTCTTAATCAAATAAGTACACACTGTCTTATAAGATAAATGCTCATAAATTTATTTAAGCTCTTGTGTGCTAGCCATTCCTAGATTTTTCCTAATTTTACAGAATCTTTCCTCATTTAAGTGTTTGGTAAATATATCAGCCAATTGATTCAAGGTGTTGACAAACTCAATCTTAATGTCTCCTTTAAGTACATAGTCTCTAACAAAATAATGTCTAATCTCAATGTGCTTTGTTCTTGAGTGCTGAACTGGATTTTTTGAGATATTAATTACACTTGTGTTATCACAAAATATTGGTACATTATGCATGGTCACTCCAAAATCTTTTAATTATTGTTTAATCCATAAAATTTAGGATTATGGTATCCTAGAGGAACACTCTTGAATTTCATTGGATATTCAGATGTAGATTTTGTTAGATGCAAAATAGATAGAAAGAGCACTAGTGGTATATGTCAGTTTCTAGAGGAACATCAACTTTGATGGGTGTTAGATAGATTCTGACTATTGAAAATAGTTTGGGGACAGTTCTAGCCGTTAATTTATCTCCTACCATTCAAACTCAAATTTTTAGACTGAATCCTCTTAGTTAACTAACATTACTACTTAGTCGATTAAGTCGTTTATGTCTTTGAATCCAGTTTCTGACTATAGGCTCTTAGTCGACTAACAATACTTCTTAGTCAATTAAGTCGTTTCTATCTCTGAACTCAGTTTTTGACAGTAAGCTCTTAGTCTACTAAAAATACTTCTTAGTCGACTAAGTGTTGTTTGTTTCACAATCTGCTTGAACTCGCCAACTTCTCTCTTGAATTTTATCCAACCAATTCCCTTAATTATCCAACTAAGTGGCTTATGTTTTATTGCTCAATTGTAGCTCCTTATTCTTATGAGTTTTGATATTTGCCTTTAAATTATTAATATATTATTTAATATTTATTTTTATCCTACACACTCAAGTAGAAAAGTTAGACATAGATAAATGGGAATATTTTATTATCATCAAAAACTAATGGAGCTAACAAATACCACATAAATATTGCCCATCATAAGGGTAAGAGTACCACTCGATTATTGCCCACCATGGGGGTAAGAATACCATTTGACAAAGCTTATTGTAAGGATAAGAATACCACATGAATAACGCTTATCGTGGGGGTAAGAATACCACCTTGATATTGAGAATCATAGGAATATGAAAATGTTGATGATGATGTATTTAATTAATTGATTATGTGAATGATGGCTTAATTGAATGACTATAACTTGAACGAATGACATGGGATCCATAAGTATGATGATTTATTAGTGTCTTCAAACCTCCAAGCTAGAGGTAACACTCGATAACCAAGTTGCAAATAAGTATGATGTTGTTACCCATGGTAAAGGTATTGGGGCCTGTGAAAGGAAATCTCTTGCTTTTCTCCTTGCAAACACTTGTATTTGAAATTGTCACTATCTAATCTAACCGTTGAGGTATCGAAAATTTCACATACATTAAGGGAAAAATGTTTGAAATGAGATTATTGATATTTGAAAGGTTCATAATGATGCTTATGAAATTCACATTGGTTTTGCAAATTATGTTTAATGCAAAAACTCTTCCCCTTGGCTTATCCCTTTCCCATATCTATCCACAAAATCTTTATGACTCACTTGCTGTTTTCCCTTGTTTTTGTTTTACAGATCAATAACTAGCTTAGCTAGGAACCTTGTAGAGTAATAGCCCAGCTCATACATAATAGGTGTGGCAGAGCCTTCTTTTCCAGCCTTTCAGTGTCACTACACTCCACAGTGTGTCGAGTCGAGTCCTATTTTGTTTATGTTATGAATGATACTTTGTTATGTAATTTAATGCTGATACATATATTTGTTTTTCATTGTGAATATTGTGTTGAGCCTTGGAAATGAGTGCGAACAAATGTTGTTACTATGGTGGAAAGACTATAGGTAATAAAGACACGAGATGTGTGCCGAACCATAGATGTTATATATAATGCAAATATTGATATGAAATGAAATAGAAACCACACACCATTCTGAAAAGTTCCATTATTATGTGATGGTAGTTATGTGATAACTAAATGCATGATGTTCCACCCATTATATTAAGAAGTTCCATAATAAGGTGACGATGTTTATATATTCATGAATATTATTGTAATATATGGATATTGTGTGAATACGTTGGATGTCAAGCCCACATATGAGGTTTAAAGCTTGCTTGGGCCTAATGGGCCATACCCACATAAGTCCATGCACCTGTTGCAAGCCCCCATAAATGAGTCGTGGCACATTGGGTCAATTTGCCCTTAAGATATTGGTATGATTGATGAATATGATTCAGTTTTGTTTCAATCTTTAATTTGATTAGTGATTGGATTCACCCTTTGTTTGGAAATGGACTTTTGCGTATTTTGATTTAGTTTTTTTTTTACCCTCTTAATCTTGGATGGTGAATGGATTCAGAATGAACATTGAATATTTGAAAGTTCATAAAAATGTTTTAGTAGAGCCTACCTAAGTTATGAACCTATAGCTAAAGGCAGTAGCCGTTAGCCATTGTGCACAATGCTTAGTTTTTTTTTTTTTCACTCAGTAGTTGAATCAATCCTAACCCCCTTTCGATATATGGTCAATGACTATGTTCCAGACCACTTTGGTGTTATGGCACACCTTGTTTTGATTGTCTATGCTATCTAGCACTCCATGATCTATTTGAAATGATGTTTGACATAATTGATTTGGACTATGGATATTTGTTTGGCTTTGATGTTCTAAATTTGTTATATTTGATTTAGACTTTGGACAATTGTTTGGTTTGATGTTTGAACTTGATACATTTGATTTGGAATTTGGATATTTCTTTGGTTTGATGTTTGAACGTGATACATTTGATTCAAACTTTGGATATTTGTTTCATTTAAAGTTTGGACTTTGATCATTCCATTCTGATTAGATTAGGCTTATCTTTAAACTCAAAAAGACTTTAAAAGATTTCTAAAAGTAATGAATTTATTTTAGAACTAAACTTTTGAATACTTTGATTTTCACTTCAAACGTTTAAAAAATCAATTAAAATACTAGTTTTTCATTTGATATATTTGAAGAGATTTATAAAGAATAAAGTAACAAACTTCATTTTCAAGACTATGTATGGGTTTTCAAACTATATTTTATTTAAAACGTTTTGAACAAATTTGTATATGTTTGGAAACAAGTTCTAAGATTCCTTAGATATTTGATTGTGCTTGGGATGTCACATGCAAATCTTTGAAATATTTGATACGCTTGCAAAAGTGGACTTTGAAAATTTTTGTGATATTTGATATGCTTTCAACAAATAGACTTTGGAAATCTTTGAAATATTTGAAACATTTGAAAGAATGGCTTTGGATTCATTTGAAATTACTATTGCTTTATTCTGAAAGTGCATTTGATAAACAAGTTTTCCGTTTAGCTTGTTCGCCCTTCTCATATCTGCTCATAGAGTTATTTATAACTCATACATATAAGATGCATTTGTTGCTACAAATCAATAGCTCGCTTGGTTCGCAGTCAGTTTTGGGAAAAGCTATTTCCACAGTCAGTTTTGGTAGGTGACCGGTAAGGCATCTAATAAGTGTCAACCTCTTTGCTTTTGAATCGTACTCTGCTAGTCCGTCTATTGCATTTGTCTAATCATGGACTTTTGACTCGAATTACATTTTGTTATAAATGTTACACTATGAAATTACCATGAAATGGCTTACATTTGAATTTTGTCCAAGGTGGTTTATAGTTTGTACTTTGAAATATGTTCTGCTTCCACACTTCAAGCATGGATTCAAGTAAATTGATGTTTTGATGTTTGGCACAACTACAATCTCATGACATGCTTTTGATTTATTAATTCTTTTGTTTTGAAGTTTGTATAGGTTAATAGGGTCACTCTCATCAATACTCTTACACCAGTCATAATCTCAGGTTTGGACTGTAACAATTGATTGCCTTATCGAAAAACCAAATAGTGGGGTGATGAAATACCACAATAATAGATGGCCGATATAGTGAAGCTACGAAATACCATTACTATTATTTTTGTGTAATGATACAAGTATATCATTGACATTTAATTTTATTGAATCAAATTAAATCAAACCTGAATTTACACAGATTTTTAAGATTCGAATCAGCCCTATCAACTCAACTAAGCTGGGGAGCGCTAGAATTCACCCCCTATACCGCACTACCTAAGCCACAAATTAACAAGCTTGAAAAAGAATAACTCATTCCATTTAATAGAGAGTAAAACATCCTCACAAATCTGTCAAAAAGGTAAAACCAAAATGGTGCAGTATTGGTTCTTGCTTTCTTAAGAATTTTCCGGCCAACTCTAATACCACTTTAAACTGGGCGCTTCAAGCAGGATGGATATTTCCAATGGAACCTAAACACATCCTTGCACATCAGATGGCATCCCAATGTTAAGCCCCTTTGCCTAAACTACAGCCCATAAGCCAAATGCAAAACATGTTCAACAGAGCAGTCATACCCGTGTGCCAGGCTTGGATTCTGATCTTGAACTTCGAGCTAAGAGAATAACCTTGGCTTACTATAAAAATTACGAATTCAGAACTGCTTCTCAAATAGCCTTCACTCTATTTCTTACAGGATAAAGAAAGCATTCGTCTTTCTAACTCAAAAGAGTTGCAGCCACATCCTGGGAAAAGAATGACAAAGTGGGAACCTGTACAACCCCACTCCATGCATATCCTAAGCCATGCCTGATAAATGAACGAAGCCTCAAAACAAAATATATATAGAAGTGGTGATACTAATCTGAGTTTTTCACAGATATCATGCTCGGATTCAAACAGTCTGAGGCACTTTTGTAGCATTCTCCTCCTGCAATAGTTGAGTTTGGTAAAGGCACCAAACAAAGTGAAAGACCACTAAATAGTAAAATATAGTAGCCAATAATTCTTATTAGAGCAAAGCCACATGATTTAAAATTTAAAACTGTCAGTGCATGGTTAAAGCATTTAACAAAAAAAAAAAACACCCATAATAGTGGATTACGCTTAGTGCCAAAAGATTCAATGACAAAGTATTCCATGAATATGACCCATCAATAACAGCTTACAGATTCAAGTAGATGAAGGAATGGCTTTAAGGATCACCAACGCAATACACAACAAATTGAACTGAACATGGGACAGAGGACCACAAACAGTGTTGCCAAATCCATGAAAAAGCAGACAATAAAAGCAGCAAAAGTGATGCAGAAGCCATTCAAGGAGAGCAATGCCTCACAAACTTATAACACCACAACCTTTTCAACAGTTAGAGCTCCATAATTACTTGGATCATTTATTATATCTCCAATATTTTTTCACTCTGGAATAGGAACTGAGAATATTAGTGACTGGTTCTAACTTCTAAGATTGGATGTTTTTTTTCTTTTTGGTTCTCTATGATGTATAATAGAAAAATGATAATTGTGGGATTAAACTATATAAGATTTCCTTTAGTTACTGTTCTGTATTTTTAAGCATGTAAATTATAATTTTATATGTAGATTTAAAATTTTAGATTATTTAGGCTAATTTTTATAGTGTTTTGCTCATTTTCTAAGTATTAGGTTTGTGTGTCTACTAGCAAAAAGCCCACAATTGCAGCGGCTCCACTTATTTTTTAGTGAAATAGAAAATTAATTTTATTAATTTTTAAAAATATTCATATTTTATTACAGGCTATAAAATCGTGTTTGTTGTGGCAACACAATGTAAAAGATAAGATGATCATCAAAATATAATGTTAAACAAACTCCTAAAGGGATAAAAAAAACTGAGGAAAACCTTTTTTATATATTCTACCGATAAGGAATCAAACTTTTTTTTATAAATTTTCTTCTTTCATTTGTTATTTTCCTTTTTTCCCTTTTATTCTTTTCTTCCCTTTCTTCTCTTTTTCTCTCCTTTTTTTCATTTTTCTTCTTTCTTCCCAACCTCTGCCTTGCTGTTGTCAGCCTAGTCTATCATGGATCTAGTAACAGAAGGCCGGATCAGAGGGTGGCTCTTCATCCGCTCCCTTCCTCTCTCTCTTCTTTCTACCCTTCCATCTTTTGATGCTCTCATTCATCCTCCATTCTACCGGCTCTCCTTTCCCCCCATATTTTCTAGCGTTGCCAACCTCTCTCCCTTCCCCTCCACCTCTCTTAGCCCATCTCTATCTTCCCTCTTACTTTCTGTTCTCTCATGTTTCCTTCCCCAAAATTTAAAACAAAATTGAAATCAGAAAAATAATTAAGGTAGAAAAAATCCCCATTATTGAAAATTTGAGGGGAAAAAAACACAATTATAGCCACAGTTTCATATAATGGTTGAACCAAGTGTCCAGCACCCATAAAATGTCTTCTAGTTTCAATAAGTTACAAATTTGGTGTTATGTATTTATTAGGATTTAGAGCTTAGCTTAAAACTACAATGTATTTTCAATTTCAAAAGCTTTAGTTTAATATAAAATTATTATAAAAAAATTTCCAGCATTATTGCTCTTAGATTGTGTGATGCAATAAACCTTAGGTGTGACTCCTTAGAAACCTTATGTATGAAGCTTAGGGATTTTTTCTTTTCTTATCTTTTTCTTTTAATGAATTTTATATGTTATCTCAAGAACTCAAATAAAAATTTGCCATAAGCCCTAATCACCTACCTAACCTACAACAGTTTTAAAGATGCAAGAGGGGTAGAAGCTACTTAGAGAGATTAAATTACTTAGTGATTTTATTTTGTTACTTTGTTGCATTTTATGAGCTTAAATGTAATTTATAGGTATACACTTCTTAAATTGTTTATGATATTTTATATTAGTTTTCCTTTTGCTTATCTTTCAAAGATTAGGCTTTGGGGTTGTATATGGTATTTGCATTTAAGATGTAAGGCTTAGCTCATAAGAAACTATGCTATTATATTCAGAGAAAGCACACATGTAGTGCCCGAACTACAATAACATGTACAAATTGATACTTGAAACAAAATATATTATAATTTGCACTATGAACTTTCAAATCATGTACCATGTCAGTCTAAATTAACATATCAACAACCTAGTTCGCCCATGTAGCATCTAACCAATACAATTACGCAATGCATACACCATGCATGAAATTAAAAAAATGAATTGAATTTCAACATGGATGCCACATGACAATCCATAATTGGTAGATTTTGAGTAAAACATTTCTAATATGTTAGTTTTTTTAAAATAGATTTTCAAGTTTAAAATTTTCTAAAAAAAAAGATAAATATTAGTACAAAAGATTAAAAACAATTAATATTTGCAACAAAACATAGATACCTTTCTTCTTTTCAAGATTTTCTCGCAATTTCCCTCTCTCTCTCACTAACCAAACAGTCTTTAAACAAGTCAAAAAAAATCAATCAATGCCCCATTTCTCATTCTTTCCTCCACCACTGTCAATAAATCATGAAAATGGAGTCCATCTCTATAGAAAATTCTATCATAACCATAAAGCCTCTAGTACATGAGATGCATTTTTCTCAATTTTCTACAAAATCAAACTAAAACCTACAAAGTTAACTTAGAGAACAAGCTTCAAATCTAGACAAACCACTTGGTGCATCAAAATCAAGCAAATACAATCCAAGACACTTCCCAATTTCCATAAGACACACACAAATTAAATCAGTAAAGACCCATGTGACTAAAAACGGATGACTATCTTTAGGAGTACTTTAAATTTTAAATCCAAACAAAATATGCTTCAATTCCAAACTAAACAACTAGAACATTTAAATAACCATAGAGTCCATAGTACACAAGAAACATTTTTCTGAAGTTTCTACAAAATCAAACTAAAACCTACAAAGTAAACCTGGAGAACAAGCTTCAAGTCTAGACAAATCACTTGAAGCATCAAAACCAAGCAAATACCATCCAACTCACTTTCCAATTTCCAGAAGACACGCATGCACAAATTAAATCAGTACAGACCCATTTGACTAAACATGAATGAATATCTTTAGGAGTAATTTAAATTTTAAATCCAATTAAAAAAGCTTCAATTCCAATCTAGACACCTAGAACATTAAAATCATTTTGGAGTTAGGGTTCTGTAAAGGTGGGTGAGAATGAAAATGGGGATAAGGAATAAGAGAGATTCTGAACCAGTGTAAAAGGTGAGATACTCTTGGATTTCTCCGCATACTATAATATTTTAATATTTTACTATAATATTTTTTTTCAAAATTTGAAACTTAAGATTTTATTTTTAGAAAAGAAAAAGAATTTTTTTACCCAATATCCACCAATTGTGAGTTGCCACATGGCATCCACGTGGAAATTCAAAGAATTACTCAATTTTTTTATTTCACATGTGGCTTGCACATGGTGTGCTTGTATAGGTTAGATACCACGTAGGCAAGGTGAGTAATTATGTTAAAATTTGAACTACATGCTACACGATTTGAAAGTTAAGGATGCAAATTGTATATTTTTTTATGTTTAGTTACCAATTTGTACAATTTATTATAATTCAAGTAGCATACGTGTGATTAACTCGTTTATTTATTTATTTTTGGTATAAGTACCTATGTTATTTAAATTTCAATAGCCGTCATTTGATATAAAATTATTATCAGAAATTTCCAGCATTACTGCTCTTATCTCCCATGATGCAATCAGCCTTTGATGTCTCTTAAAGAGCCCTTGAAGCTAAAAGATTTCTTCTCCTCTTCTCTCCATTCGATATTCTCTTTGTTCTCAAGAACTCAGATATAAAAATTGTCCAAAACTTTATTCACTTGGCTATCCTAAAAAACAGTGAAACAGATAATAAATTTAACTCTTTCAGTGCTATTTTACTATGTAATTTGAGATAGCTCATTATGTTTAAAACATATTTTAAACAAACAAGCCACTACAAGTTCTGAACAGAGTCATCATACAAGGATTTAGAAACTGCACGAATAAACCATACTGAGAAGATGAAAGAAGTGTGCGCTTAAAGGAATAGTTAAGCACACCGGCATCACTAGACTAACTTGATTTTGATGGTACTCAGAAGAAAATCTTATCAGAATAATGCTAACAGTCAATTTTTGTAGCACAGGTGGCAGCAATCAATGTATTCCTATCACAAAAGTGGACAAAATCTGTAATATTTCTCTTACATTATTCTGGTAAATAAAATCTAATTATTTCTTCAAGCTGACAATCAAGAGAGGTAAGTCAATAACTTTCAACAATCAAGCCAAATAGGCAGAATGTTTCCCTATGTAATAATTCATCAATTAGCAAGACAATCTGCAACTTTAGGACACTTTTTTAAGAAGAACGGACATATATAGTCATTGCAGAAAAAGACTGTACGTTGATCTCAAACAATTAAATGCACCCCAGATAGCATTTCCATCTCTACATGGCAATTAGAGAGACAGACTTATTTCTAAATTGAGCTGTCTGTTAGATCTACTGCACCTATTCCAGAAGGGAGTTCAGAACGCTCCTCAAAAAAGAAAAGAAAAGCAAAGCATAGCCCTAACAAGTGGCAATATAAGCAGTAAGTCTAAGCACAAAAGGGGAAACGAGCACGAAGAGACACAGATGCTTACATCAATAGCCTGAAGAGTCTTGACGGGAGAGAACTTCAGCTGAGAAGCTTCAGCACCAGAAGCAGATTCATTTCCACTAATAGCCTCATTATGACCCTGCGAAAAAATAAATTAAATCAACATGCGTGAGAATGAAATTTAAACTTGGAAACAGACAAATTAGGAAAAACAGAGGAAGAAGAGTTACAAGAAAAGAATTTCTATTGTGTTGTTGACGGTCTTCAAAGAGAGAAGAGTAATAAGCAGGATCATAGATGGCGCCTCCTAAAACGTCATCATTGTCATTGTGAGAGCATGGTCTAAGTATGGAATTGGATGGAGTTGCAGGGTTTAGAAAACTATTTCTCAAATCGAAATCGGGGTCTCGTGGACCTGCACCACTGTCTACATAAGAAACCCCCAGCCTATATATTTGAATCCACAACAGGGACGACCACAACCTCACAAAAAACCCTATGATTTCCATTGCCAGAGTTAGTCTGACAGAGAAGATGAACAACATTCCATGACTCTCACTCTCCGACGATATGTTCCAAATATCGTGGGAAAAGAGGATGAACCACGAAATGTCCAGCAGAATGGCGCAGAAGAGCAAAACGGCGTAAGTTCGGCCTAAGCTCTGACTGCTGCTCTCGATGGCCACCAAAGCGAACAACGCTATGCCCAAATCGATCAGCAACACTCCGTTGTACAATGCGCCCAGGGATCCGATCAAGGCGCACCCAATCTGACCAATCAAATCGAATCAAATCAACTGAATAAGATTTTTTCCTTCAACAATGAAAGAAACCCTAGAAACTACTACTACTAAAAATTTTCTCAGAAAAAAAAATTTACTTGGATGTAAATGAGGAGGACGGCCACATATTGGAGCCTATCATAATCGCGAATACAAGCGTGAATCCCATCTCTCAGATTCTGAGAGCAACAACAAACCATCATCTGCTGCGATTCATCCAATTTTGATTGGGCGCTAAAGGCAATCTAAAATCTGATAAAAACAACTGTTTGTGGTTGTTTGGCTTTGGCGGGACTACATTGAAATGAAATTAAAACCAAAAAAAAAAAAAAGAATGTATACCACTGCTTATGAGTCACTGATGAAATACTAGTAATTGAATCTTTAACAGAAAGAGAGCAACAACCCTCCTCTATTCTCCTCTCCTTGTTCTTTGCTCTTCTCGAACCACCTTTTCCCTCTTCCTCCTCGCTCGCTTACGCCTCCTCCTCTTTTTCCCTTTTTTAGTTCTCTTTTTTTCTTTCCCCCTTTTTTTTATTATTTTAAGGAATTAGAAATTAGAAATTAATTTTGCTTCCGACTGATCTGATTTCAGGTTTGACCTTGAGGCGTAAACACTAACAAGCAGTCCCCCTATATATATAGCTCCTTTATCAGCCGCTTGCGCCACTTTTAATTACTATTCCCCCACTCGTTGTTTTTATTCAATTTTTATAAAGTTCAAATATAAAATTTTAATTTTAGTATATTTTATAAATTTGATGTTTCATTATTTTTTATGTGTACGGGGCTCTTCATCTCTCTTCAACCATTCTGTGTACATTTAGCAAAACTTGAATCATATTACTCGTGCATTATTTGATTGAGTTGGTATTCACACTTCTACGTAAAACATATGTAACATAATAATTTGAAAGTTAATTTTCAATTGCCAATATTCTATGGACACATCTTTCATGGATTGATGTAAGTATTTCTATTCATATGAATGGTACACATTGTTCACATTTCATATTACCGTCAAAAGAAAACCTTAACTTTGCATTAAGGAAGTTACATTTCAACTTGATATGAATGAGATTAGTTCAACTCTTTAAATAATTAATTATAAAAGTTATGATATATTTGAGAAGAGTAAGCTATGATCAAGAAATTAGCGATAAAATTTATGATCGATAGCATAATATCATTGCAACCAAATTATAAGTGGTAAAACTTGCTATTGAAATCTAAGTGATGAACTATGGTTAAAGAATGAACGATATAATTTGCGACACGGTGAAAAATAACATTACAATCAAAGTAAGACCAACAAAACTTGCAATTGAAAAATGAATTTATTGCTTTTTTCAAACATAAAATTTTCAATACATAAAGCAATCAAGAGTAAAAATCCTAGAAGTATCACGCATGAGTAAGAAATAGGTTGTACTAGATCCTATTGTTGCCAACCACTATTTCTCTTCCTTGCACCTCCTTATAATATTTTACATCTTTACATTCAGTAAGTGAAGGACAAATTGCATGGTGATAGTCACAATACCTTGGGTTAGACTTCTCTTAAGTTGTTGGTGGTCATAAAACGTAAGATAAGTTCACTTGTCCATCCCTTATCAATTTGTGGAAAAGTGCTCTCACTCTATCTAGCGAGATTGATGATGGAGAATGAATCTCTTCTTGTCTTCTTTTCAAGTTGTCTATTCTTGGCTGCAAATAAGGTCTAAGACCTCTTTTTTCTCTACCTCATTCTTGAATTGCATTTACTGTTGGGGTATTTCATTTCTCCAAATGACTACTTCACCTTTACCTAAGAATCATATTGTGTTCCATCGTATCATTTCAACTAAAGTAAGGAAGGTGGGAAAAGGTAGATTTTCCAATGTGCCTACACTAATCAACATACCTTGGATGCAATATTTCACTAACTCCTCATTATGGGAATTTTGTATGTCCAACATCTTTTCCTTGAAGTGTTGGATATATTTAATGAGATCTTCCCTAAACTTTCCATGCTTTCTTTCCAAGTCAACAAGAGTAACTTTCACTTAGGTAAAAAAAACCTTCTCCCAAAACATGCTACTTATTTGACCTCAAGATTGCACAAAACCAAGAGTGAGATTGACATACAAAGTGTAGGCCTTTATAGAAAGAGACTTGGAGAGTTCCCTTAACTTCAAATTATCTTTCAATCTCTCCACTCCAAGGGTCTCCACAAACTTCATGACATGCTCTCGAGCATCACCAATATTGCCATTAAATTGGTTGAACTTAAGACGGGTGTAGTTTTTAGGATACGACTTAATAGCTACACTAATGGGATATAAACAGCTTAAGATTAAACTCTGAAAAGTTTAGGCTTTTGCGCTTATGGTCAAGCAGCTTTTGGAACTTTATCTTTGTCACAAAACCTTTCGTGGTGGTTGACAGTGTTGTTGTAACAGAGTTCTTTTTTTTTTTTTCTACCCAATCAACTGAATATTTTATTATGTATTGAAAGATACATGCTGATCCCAAAATGGACTAGCATGGTACCAAAGATAAAATCTCCTCACTAGAATCCCATCAAATACACCTACAAGTACTGATAATACAATAAACTCAATACGCCAGCCTTATAACAAATTACAAAATGGAAACAAACTACACCCAGCAACTCATTAATAGTAACCGTCAAGATATATTCGATAACTATATTTTATAGAGCATTTTTAAGCCCTAATTCATATGGTTTTTGCATAGTTTTCAAATAATATAACTCATTTTTTACCCCATTTAATTAAAAAGCCTTCTTTGGTAAATAACTTGAAAATTTATGAATTTATGTATTTTTATAATTTATGTAGGAACATAAGGCTAAAATTCGGAATTTTCATGCAAGCCATGCACAAGGGTCAACTTCTAGCCCAAATTTGACTACCTTAGCATCAGAATCTAAGGAAGACCGTGACATACAAATTTGTTCAGCATCAAGTTAGCTTTCAGAAGGACTTCGAATCACTCAATTACGATATGGAAGTAAAAAATTAAGGATGTTAAACAGAAGAAAGGTCAATTTGCCTGAAGCTGCATGCATGCAAAATCATCACCTTTTAGCAAGTTTTTGGACAAGTTCATCCAAATCCATGCAAGAGGTAGGCTTTCCAAATTAGACCTGTCCAAGAGGGTTTGAAATCTGGCGGATTTTCTGGAGATATCAAAGAATTCAAATGGGAAGAGTCCTCATCTAATCAATTAAGTTTGGAGCCTAAATTCAAATCCTAAAGAGTTTAAATTTCAAGCTAGATTTTAGATGATTTTTAAGCTAATTTTCTTTGGAATAAAAAGGCATAAAATCAAGAAGATAATGAGGGGGAGTTTCAGGTAAAATGGTTTAAAAATTGAAAAGGGAAAAATTCAAGCTTTTGCAATTTGAATTCAAGGAAGCACACGGACACATTTATACCAAATTCATCTTAGCATTGGCAACCACTTTGAAGCTTGAAGGAGTCAATTTTCACTCAAAATTAAAGCTGGAAATCAAGTAAAAATCAGCTTGAAATCTGGCCAAGTGATCAAGTGAATTGAAAACTTGAATTCTGAATTTTAAAGGTAGAAGACTTAAGCCAAAACTCTCCCCCTTTTTGGCTATAAATACCTTGCCAGCCTAGCTCTTTATGCAAGCCTTCTTTTCCTTTTTTTTTTTTGTAAATTTTCACTAGATTTGACGCACCATAGACAATAGTGAATGATGAAGGCAGTCATTTTTGCAACAAGTATTTTGCAACTATTCTTGCTAAATATGGAGTGAGACATAAGGTTGCAACTACCTATCATCCTTAAACAAATGGACAAGTCGAAGTCTCCAATCGAGAAACTAAAAGGATTTTGGAGAAGGTTGTGTCCCCATCGAGGACAGATTGGGCCAAGAGATTAGATGATGCACTTTGGGCATATAGTATAGCCTATAAAACTCCAATAGGTATGTCTCCTGATAGATTGGTTTTTGAAAAGGCATTTCCCCTTCTAGTGGAACTTGAACACTATGCGTATTAAGCCATTAAAAAGTTGAATTTTGATTAGGAAGTTGCTGGTGAGAGGCGTTTGTTGCAATTAAATAAGTTAGATGAGTTTAGATAGGATGCTTATAAAAATGCCAAGATCTATAAGGAAAAGACTAAAAATGGTATGACAGGAAGATTGTCGAACGTCATTTTGAGCCAGGCTAACATGTGCTTTTGTTTAACTCTCAATTGAAGCTATTTCTAGGCAAGTTAAAATCAAGGTGGTTAGGACCTTTTCTTGTTACGAGAGTGTTCCCATATGGTGTAATGGAAGTTGTTGATGGCAAGACTAATGAGAAGTTTAAGGTGAACAGGCAACAATTGAAGCATGACTGGGGAGGTGACATCAATCATCAGCATTCCTTCATCAATCTTGCTAACCCAAATTAAGCTTGGAAGAGAGTCCAACTAATAAATATAAAGAAAACGCTACTTGGGAGGCAGCCCAAGTTTTTTACACTTAGTCAATTCTCTTTCGTAGTTTTCTTTATGTTTCGTTAAATTCTTAATTTTTTTAATTTTTAATTTTAATGTTATTAACTAATTTTTCTTTGTTGTTTTCCCATTAGCAGGTGTTACTTATATTTCTCTATTTTGCTTTAGTTTATTAAAAAATTATATAAAAAAAGAAAAGAAAAAGGGGAGGCAGCACTCTTGGCGTCATAAAGCCAAGGGTGTTGTTATTCTAGCAAGGTCAGCACTGCAACACCAAACCACCAATGCCACGGTGCTAAACAACATTGAAAAAAATTTTAATACTTCAACCCAAGCCCACAGCACCGCAACGTTGGGTCGAGTCCCTTCCTTCTATTTAAGCCTCATTTTCCCCTTCTTCCTCATTTGAACCCTAGCTCTCAAAGTTCTTCATTCTCTCTTAATAAAAGTGTAGAAATTTCTCACACCTATTTCAAAAGCACAAGAAAAATTTCAATTTTCTTGCATAAAAACAGTAGTTTCAAGGATTTTAGGCATCTTTCTCCATCAAACATCAACAGAGTGCAAAAGTTTTTCAAGCAATTGGCTAGTTCTTTCAAAAATTTTGATTTGTGTGGAATTAGACATTGTGGAAGAGATTTGTTGGTGAATATTGATGGGTTTTTGCTATATTTGATAATGTGTATATTATGCTTGACATAGTTGTTAGATCAAGACACATATCGTATATCAAAATCTTATTTCTTAGTATCGAGTATCGTATCGTATCGTAAGATATGGTAAAAAATTTTAAAAATAATTATAAATAATATTTATGTATGTAAAATAAAGAAAAAAATAAAAAAATTATATTTTTTAACAAAAATAAAAATTATAAGACATAGATTGAAAATATAATTATTTTTTATTTAAACTTTTAACATATTTTTTACTAATATAAATTTTTAAATAAAATATACATTTTATGATATTAATTTATTGATTAAAAATACAAAAAACATTTCTCACGCTAAAATTAAAAGGGAATTCAATTTTGTAGTATGTTTTCGTTTAAACTCTAAAAAATTAAAACTCATAAAATATAAATTTTCATGTTCCAACTCAAAAAAAAATAAATTTTTT